CAATTCCATTCAAGGAGGCTTGGGTTATTGACAACAGCATTCCTTCCTAGTGAATGCATGATCCTGTAGCATGAATGGATACTTTTTCTTAGGTGACCAGAGTGACTGAGCATTACCATTTAAAATCAAAGATAATTTTACCTCCATCACACCATGATTGAGTTAGGCACATGGTGATTAAGGTATATGAAGTCTGAAATTCTTCATAGTGATCTGGTTACAGTTGAAGGCTGTGACAAAAGGAACAGGACCTTGGCTTTGCCTGAACAGCCACTTGTGAGGAGACTGTGGAATACGGTCTCTGGGTGTCTCTCTGTCTGTGCTGTGGAAGGAAGGCCTGGAACACAGACCACTGTAGGGAAGAGGTCAAAGCTGAGCTTCTCAAAACTGACTTCTTAGAAACAGGACTTGTTCCTGTGAGGGGCTGGTCTGAGTGTCCCAAGGAAACCATAAGAGTATGAAGGGTTTTTATTCTTCAGCTACTTGAGTGCTTTTCACATTTCCCTTCCTCAGAGCCTGTGAGTTTCTATCCAAAGAAGTGATGAGATAGTTTGCTATTGTTAGTGCATTCATTACTTAAAACTCTACATAACAAGAGTAATTCAGAATAGCCAGTACTTCATGGAGCCCATTTATATAGCATGACTAGCTAGACCAAAAGATCAAACCCTTATGAAAATAATATTTATTCACCTAAAAGTCCTCAGACAGGGACTTGGTTGAGTAAACTATAGTATAACTATTAGAAAGATTAATATGCTCTCATAAAGACATGGTGTCACATGCCTGTAATCCCAGCACTTGGGAGGCTCAGGCTGGGGGATCACAAGTTTGAGGCAAGCCTGGGACATTTAGCAAATCTGAAGTCAATCTGGGCCAATTAACAAGATAATGGTCTCCAAAACCAAACAAAAATGTTCTCGAAGACTCGAAGAAAATATTGTTAGTATAATGCTAAGTGGAAAAAAAAATAAAAACTTACACATTCAACGTAAATTTCCTCTGAATTTTCAGGCTCTTTCTGTCTCTACCTCTGTCTCTGTATCTTTCTCACATAGTTTCAGAAGATGATTGGTCATTCATATTGTTACTACTTCACAATAGGGTAACTATCACTAATAATAATGTATTGTATATTTCAAAAAGCTGAAGAAAAAGCTCAGAAAGCTTTCATCATTAAGAAGTGATAAATGCTTGAGAAGACAGGTGTGTTTAACCTGATTTAAGCATGATGCAATGTGTACATGTACCAAGACATCATGCAGAGTACCTCTAATACGTATAATTTTTGTCTTTATGTGTCAATAAAAAATAAAATTTTTAAAAGATGGAGAGTAGTTATTTGGGGTAGAACTAGGGGCTATATTTTCCAGGTGTTCTAAAATACATGTGCATTGTCTTTGTAATAATACAATAAAACAATAGCCATCACATACAAAAAAAAATAGGTGCCATTTAATTGTCAAAGGCATGCCAAAATGAAGGACAGTGCAGGTCTTGAGGCTCTGTATAACAGCAGCACTCGTGAGGGTGAACATGGTTGCTTAAACCTGTGTGCCGCCTTCCTGTCTGTCTGTAGGGCCATTGGGAGCCCAGGGGGTGGGGGACAATGAGCAGACCTCTGATGACTAAAGTGTAAATTGAAGACAGTGAAAAAGTATTTGGGGCCAGTGGGCTTGGGGGACGAAGGCCTGCCACTGGACTATGGCAGTGCTGCCTGGACACAGGGGTGTGTAGGGATGCCCTTTGGGATGGGGACCATGAGAGGAAGCATCCTGTGACATTCCACGCAAAGGTGCTCTCAGCCAGAATGGCAGCACTCCATATTCACTCTGTGCGGTGGTTCGTGTTGATTCTCAACTTGACAGGATCCACACTCACTTAGGATCTCACTCACTCACAAGCCTCTGGCCATGCCTGTGAGGAATTCTCTTGATTAGGTTCATTGAGGCAGGAAGACCACTACCCACAGTGGGCAGCACCATTCCCTGGGTCTGGGTCCTGAACTTTGTTAAAAGGAGAAAGCCAGCTGAGCTTCTCCTGAAGAAGCTTCATGTTCTTCTTCTGGCCTGTGGATGTGATGTGACCAGTGGCCCCAAGTCTGTCCCACCAGGAACCCCCTCCCCAACCCATGATGGAGGGTGGCCTCAAACTATGAGCTAAAATAAACATGTTCCCTTAGGTTGCTCTTGTCAGAGTATTTTATCACAGCAGCAGGGAAAGTGACTGAAACATTCCATAATAGTCTTTGTGAGCTGCTATGCTCTGAATATGCTTTGTCTCCACAGAAACCCATGCTGAGCCTTAATTTTTCAATGAAGAAGAGTGGGAGGTGGGGCCTAGTGGGTGTTGGGTCAAGGGGGTGGAGCCTTGTGAGTGGGTTAAGGTTTTCTCTTGGTACTGAGATCCACTCTATTGGGACTGGATTAGTTATCAGATAATGTAGTTGTGATAAGCCTCTCCATGTGCTATGGACATTCTGCATCAAGCACTGGATTAGCAAAGAGCCTTGCCAGATGCAGCTTCTGGGTGTCTCCAAAACCAGCCAAGTAACCCTTTCTCTTTTTAAATTACTCAATCTTTGGTATTCTGTTATAGCAACAGAAAACATATCAAGATATAATCTGAACAGAATCAGCACTGGGTCACATTTAGAAATATCACAAACCTAATTTCAAATGTGTAGAGGAGGGGCTGGAGAGATGACTCAGTGGTTAGGAGCAATGGTTGCTCTTGTAGAGGGTTCCATTCCCAGCACCCACATGGTGGCTAACAGCTGTCTGTAACTCCCGATCCAGGGGATCCGACACCCTCTTCTGAACTCTGAGGGCATTGCATGACACAGGTGCACTTACACACATGCAGGCAAGACGCTTATACACATAACATAAAATAAAAATAATAAAAGATTTAATAAATGTGTAGGGGAAAATAGGATTTTCTTTGAGATAGGGTCTCCCTGTAGCTCCAGCTGGCCTGGAACTCTCTGTGTAGACCAGGCTGGCCTTGAGCTCACAGAGATCTGCCTGCCTCTGCTTCCCAAGTACTAGAATTAAAGGTGTGGGCCATTGTGCCTGGTGAGATTTTTTTTTTTTAACTAAAGAAGTTCTCATGTTGAGGATACTGAAGACGATCACACTGCACAACCTGCAACCTGCAGCAGGATTTTTAAAAATTAGACATTTGTTTTCTTTTACATTTATTATTTATTTATTTGTTTATTGTGTGGGGAGAGTATGTAAGCCTCAGTACAAGTGTGGAAGTAAGAGGACAGCTTGTGGGAGTCAGTTCTCTACGTCTATCACGTGGGGTCCTGGGGATCTAACTCAGGTCATCAAGTTTGGTGGCAAACATGTTTAGTGGCTGAGCCATCTCACCTGCCCAGCATTTCTTAAAAATTCGATTTCTGTGTCTCTTTCTCAACTGTCACTCATCATAGCTACACTTCAGTTCATTTCTCCCTTTTCCCTTCCTCTTTCCCACCTCTTATACCTCTCTTAGGTGCCCAGATGTCAGTTCTGGAGTTACAGGCCCACAAGCCCATCCAGTTTTTTTGGGTGCTGAGGTTTCAGGCTCATGTCCCCATGCTTGTACAGCAAGTGGTTTTACCCCAGTCCCTTCAGTCATCTCCTCAGCCCCTTGATATTCCCTTTAAGATAAGGGCCTTGAGCATCTTTGGATTTTAGTCTAGAAGCAATCTTCACGGATACTGAGGGAGGCCTGACAGGATTCTGTGAGTGTGGAGTGTAGAAGTGCTGTCAGATTCGGTCTCTTCAGTGGTTCCTGGGTAGGGCCAGATTACGGAGAAGTGGGCGTGTCCCTTCTGCAGTCGGAGCCTCTCCTCGGAGACATCCTGTGAGCTTGTCTGGTCTGGAGTGCTGAGCCGAATTAGGGAATTTCCCCAGGGGTACAGCAAACTTCTGACCTCTAGAAGCTCCAGATGGGCTCGCACTCCGCATTCATAGGGTGCAGTTGGCAGTTCTGACCTGTACTATAATCAAAGAGCCCAAGGGCTGAGCTGTGTGCAAACCACTAGTGGGATGCCACATCCTCGTTTGTACGAAGGAGGCGTTTATTCTTACAATATCCCCATCATTAAATGGACAGGAGCAATTAATACTGGAAACGTGTTACAATTGTATATAGCATTTCACAACATGTATCACTTTTTAACGAATCAGCTAATTAATTATTTGTAGGAGTGTTTTGTCTTGCATGTATGTAGGTGCACCCATGTCATGCAGTGCCTTCAGAGGCCAGAAGAGGGCATCAGATCCGCTGAAACTAGAGCTACAGATGGTTGTCAGCCACCGCGGGAGGCCTGGGAACAGAGCCTGGGTTTTCTGTAAAAGACGGAAGTGCTCTTACCGCGGACCACCTCTCCAGACCCAATGTAGCAGCAGAATTTGAGTGAATGTTTTTTGTTTTGTTTTGAATTTTGGAACCTCATACCCACATCCAAACGACACAAAGCACGCGCTGTGTGCTGTTTCCGTTTTATCTGAGTGTACTGCTTTATTTGTTTGTTTGTTTGTTTATATTTGAGACAGTCAGGTAGCCCAGGCTGGCCTTGAACTTGCTATGTGGCCCAAGCTGGTTTACGGTTCCTGATCTTCCTGCCTTGCCTCCACCTTCCAAGTGCCGGGATTATAAGCAAGCGCCAGCACCCTGGCCTTTTGTTTTATTTTTAGCACATTATCCGACTTCATACTAGACACTGGTCAGAACGCTTCATGAGGTCAAGGAGACCCACAAGTGAGGTCCAAGGCCCCCTAGTCGCTAGCGCCAAATTTCTGTAGCAATTGTCTTCATTTTAAAACACGTGCTCTCCGAAAAATTAAACTTAACTAAAAGAAGAAAATAAAGCCTCCGAGATTCTTCAGCGCATTAGTCCACAGGGATGCGTCTGTAGCCTTATTGCCGCCTGCTCTAGATGATGGTCCTATCTCTTTAAAAAAAAAATCCATTCGGAGGCTAGGCAGGGGGAGCTGGGACTGCGGCAGGCTGGGGCCCTGCGCTGGCTGCGGTGGTGCTGATGGTACAAAAGACAAAGGCTCTGCGGCGATCGGGATGCTGAAGGCGACCCGAGAGTCCCCAGGGGTCCACTGGACGACAGATAAGGGAGAACGCAGAAGACGCCTTTGAAGGAGCGGGTGGACTGGGCGCTGCTGCCCGGCCGCTGGAGCCGGGCGGGTGCGATCGGTCCCTGCAGCTGCTGGCGGCACTGTGGGTCACTGTCCTGAGCATCTGCGCCTGGGCCGAGGCCAGAGCGCCGGAGGCCACTGTGCACGGGTGAGCAGTTCCTTAGCATCGCACCCTTGGGTGCACAGTCTGCGGTGTGGGGCCGTGATTGCTGCAGCCTCATGGAGAGGGAGAGGGCCAGGGATCCCGACTGGAGACTTTGTCATTTAATTGCATTGCAGAGGGTGGTCACTGTGGGAACTTGTGGGGACCTGTAAAGTGGCATTCTCAAAGAGGCTTATTGTTTAATCATTAGCCTAATTTTAATAACATGTTCTTAAATCAACCCGTGTCTCAGTTATATAATGATATTGGAAAGCTTTGTGGTGAAAAACATTTTTATTTATTCCATTCTAGCAAATGATTATTGAATTCTTAGAAAGAGTACTCTAATTTTAGGAAGAAATTCACTCTCTCTCCCTCCTATCCCTCCTATCCCCTTTCTTTTCTTTCCCATTTATTTTTTTTTCTTAAAACAAGGTCAATATTTCAGCCATAATTTAGGCTTTAATTTTATTTTCTGTGTCTCAGAAATTTTATTTTCTCTGTTCCATTTGCTACAAGGCAAAATCGGTTGAGCTCAGGTGTTTTCCAAGCATAAGCCGACACAAATTCATGCTGATGGGAACTCTTTATGCCTGCACCAAGCCAGAGAGGAGTAATTCACACTCAACTCCATTTTGTCATATGACAAGTTTTTGAGCCACCACTGACAGCCAGATGGATATTAGGGTAAGACAGGGGTTCTTGTGCCTGATGACTAACCAGCTTTTTCCTTAATCTTGCCAGATAGTCTCTGCAGCTCCTCTTCATCTCCTTTATCCCTCCTTTACCTCCCTTGGCTTTTGACTGCCCAGCTTTCCTCCCCTGGGATCTTCAAGACTCTTACTGTGTCCCTTTCAACCAAACCAAACTAGCTCATTCCATCTTTCTGTATTTCCTTCCTGGCCATGCTTGGGTTGTAAGAATATCTCCATGGTTTAGCTGTTGTTCTGATGTTTTGTTTTCATCATATAAGAAGAAAAGCCCAGCCACAGTTTTTGAAGATCAAGGGCAGCTTACACAAGGGGCCCTTTGCTTTCTGCTGGACCGGCTCTCGGCAGCTCTGCTGGATCCCCACTCCACATCCTCTGAGAAGTCACTTATATCCAGTGCCTCAGTTTCTCTTCTGTCCAAGACAATGACATTCATTGCTCAGATGATGATGGTACCGTTGAGATCAGGAAATGTGTTTGAAGACCTCTAGCGCAGACTGGGAACAGTGTGGCTAGTTAGTGGTTGCCACGTTCCCATTTCATCCATTCATCTAGCCACCCATCCATGAAACAAGCCAAATGGCTTCTTCTATTTGTTTTCCCAAAAGAATGAATTTTGAAATGAACTTTTGACTGAGTGCACCTTAATCAGCCTTGACCAGTATGTATATCTCACATACTTTATATGTGTTTGTGTGCACGCGCGTATGCTTCTCTCTCTCTGTGTGTGTGTGTGTATCTATCTATATATCTCACATATAGTTCTATATATCTCACATGGAGTTCTTGCTGCTGTGGTTAAATGCTACCCACTGTCTACCTTTGACCTATAGTATCGATGCTGAAATTTCCTTGTTGCCACAGGAGTATCCTCTTGGGGAAGGAAGGCTGATTCCTTTCCCTAAGCACACTGTGGCAGCATTGAGGATGATAATGGCTGTTTCCACCATGAGTCCAAATCAGGACCATTAAATGTCATTGATGTAGCAGGTGCCACATTGGAAGTTGGAACAAGTTCTGTTGTTGTACTGATCTTGGACAACCCAGGTAATAATGCACTCTTTAATGGCACTACCAAGCCCATGGCTATTTTTAATTTCTACTTTGTGTGTCTTTCTCTTCTTCTTTGATACTTTTCCTTATACTCTACACTTGCCATGTTGTGTCAGGTTTCAGGGTCTAGGAGGGAGATATTGTGCCCTTACCTTTGAGAGAAAGAGTGTAGTGAAGTTGGGAGAGCCCTAGACTGGGGTTTTTGCTCTGCTGTACATCTCTTTGTGCTGGTTAGAAAATCATTTCCCTCATTGCTGAGATACGAGGTCTGTAAAGAGAGGGTCCTGAGTACATGATTCAGATAGCTCTCCTTGGCCTATCCTCGTGTTCCCAGAATTATTCAATCAAATAAAGTATTTTCACCTATGTCTTTTTCTGATTCTCACAATAGCCTTATGAAACAGGCATTCCTGTTTCATAGATCACAAACTGCAAGATTCAGAGCAAGCAGAAGCACAGCTCTTTCTTACTTACAAGGGGAATGTTGACTGCTTGAGGCTCTTACTGAAGATCACTGAGTTCTCAGACTGCAGACCCTGAGTTCTGGTCCTGGTGTGGTTCTCTTCTCCCATCACTTAGGACTTAGGGTGCTAGGAAGCTCGAGACGCCATGGTAGTTACCAGTTTTGTAAGAAGCCATCTCTGGTACAGTTACAGCAATGTTACATCCAGACAGTCATTTGTTTTTAAAAATTCTACATCAATCACATTTAATGGTCCTGATTTGGACTCATGGTGGAAACAGCCATTATTATCCTCAATGCTGCCACAGTGTGCTTAGGGATTATATCGTGGGTCTGTTACCTAATATCATTAAGAGTGATCATTTAAATTGCACAAACATCTTTATTTCATTGAAGTACTGAGCACTAGAAAGGATAACCTCTGTGAATTTTATAATTATCTGGAATTGTGCACATTTTTACATAATAGTAGACTTAACATTTTTTTACATGATATTATTTTTTAAAATTTTATTTATGAGTGTATTGCCTGCATGTATGTGAGTGCGCCCATGTTGTGCAATGCCACGGAGGTCAGAAAAGGGCCTCAGATTTCCCTGGAACTGGAGCTAAGGACGGTTTGTAGCTGCCATGTGGGTGCTGGGAATCGAACCCAGGTCCTCTGCAAGAGCAGTCAGTGTTCTTAACCGCTGAGCCACCTCTCCATCCCCAACATGATAATGTATTTAACCACTAAAAAGTTCCAGTGGTGTTCCAAGATAAGACAAAGGAAATATTGGGTAAGATACACACATGCTAAAATATTATTCATTGTCTGAAACTGAAACTTAACTAGGTATATGTACATTTATAATTTTATTTGCTAAATCTGGCACTACTACATAAGTGAAAACTTAACTGATGAACTAAACAATAGCTATCTTGTACTTAAAAATATTAATAAGATTTTGAAGCCTAACACGTAAATTATAGCCAATGTCAACTTCCCATCAGATAATAGTTTTATTTATTAATTTTTCTTTGTTATGTTTTGTTTTGAGACATGGTCTCACTATGTAGACCTGGTTGGCCTCGAACTCACAGAGATTTGTCTGCCTTTGCCTCACAAGAGCTGGGACTAAAGGCGTGGGCTACCACACCTGACTTTTAGTAGTGTTTTTATTAAATGTTTATGCTGAGTGACTATTCTAGGAAAATTCCAATCCTCGAGAACATTTTTCTATGGCACCAAGTCTCCATTAAGAATAAAAATAAAAAACACCCAAGATTTTGAATGAATTTATTTGCAGACTCCATTTTGTAGTGGATCTTCAACATAGTAACTCTGATAGTTGACCTCTTGGAGCCTCAGTTTCCTTCTTTTTCAAAGCAACTGTGAATATATTAAGAATCCTGCCTCAGGGATTAGGTGACAGGTACTAAGCTCCTGGTATGGCAGCTTGCGATAGGCTCCTCCAAACAGCTAGCTTTTATTTTTGTGTCTTCAAAAAGCTACACGATGTCCATCAACTCTTGTCAAACTAGGTAAATTTAAATCCTATCTATTTTAATGTGATATTTAACAGCTTTTCTGAGATACTGTTTTTTAATTGAGATAATATTCATATGGCATACACTTTGCCCATGTGTTATATTATATTTATATAAACTTTGATCTGGGAGGATAGATGGATTTCTTTGCCAGCACAAGCCCCATACACCTCTGCCTACCACAATCAGCTCTGCTGGTTGGTTGAAACCTGACTCAGGATCAACTTGAACTTGATTCAAGATATTCTATAAAAGTAGATGTTTGTGCTTGTGATCTGGAAATGCATGTTGGGGAAATTTGTGCACAAAGTAACAGAATTGTTTCCTCTTTAAAATTAAAAAAAAAATTATGTATTTGTTTTGCTTACATGTATGTTATGTGTACCAAGTGCATGCAATGCAACTCGAACAGGTGTCAGATCTCTCTTGGAGTTACAGATGATTGTGAGGGGCAAAGTGGGTGTGTGGGAACTGAACCTGGGTCTGCTCTAAGAGCAGCAAGTGCTCTAAACTGCTGAGCCATCACCAGTCCCTAAATTGTCCACTCCTTATTGAATACCTTCTGTATCCATAATCCAGAACCCAAAAGGGAGGAAAGTTAAGGAACGGGCAGCAAAGCACCTGGGAAAGGTCTACAACTCAGAACCCCAGGGAAATCACGCATTTTAAAATTTAGCCTGAAGCAGGGCATCTTTCCTGTTGTGTGTGTTCCACGGACGTCTCTGTGCGCATGTGTATCCAGCCCTCACCTTTAGCTTCTCCTCATGACGCTGTATAAATGCATTTCGTGTCTGCATTCAATCACAGTGGTATCTAAGCCTGGCTGTGGCCACCACCACCTTTTCTACCACACGTGTGGCCCACCCAGTGCTGTCACTGGTGACATGCAGTGTTTCTCGGGGTTTGTTGGTTCGTAGGGTGGATTAATCTGACTTTTATACTTTGCAAAGATTCCATTTGAAGCCTGCTCGTTTTTTGCTGACTCACGTTTTGCTCTGACTGGGGGTGGGGTTGGTCACACCTGCTAATTCCAGGGGAGGCTTTCTGTGGGCTGTCTGCCTGCACTGGCTCCCTCTTTCTGGGTTGAAGACTTTCAAGGGCAAGTTTTCACCGTGCCCAGGGAGTCTAGCCCGGTGTGAATTTGTTTGGCGATGTGGAGTTTTAGTTTTCGTCCACAGATGCGTGTGTGTTCTCTTCTCTGAGGAGGGCCAAGCGCAGTGCGGCGTCTGTTCCCCTTGAATGGGTCGCTGGAGCTGTTCTTGCAGGTGAAGCTGCAGAGGGCTGCGCCGCCTGCAAATACTGCAGTACCGACAAGGGCTCAGGGAAGAGCTTCCCTGCCTCCTCCTTCCCACACAGCCCCCTGCTCTCTCCTGGAAGGAGTTTCAAGACTACTCACGAGGTTCTGCAGTTTAACAGACACCGTTATAGAGGACAACGCAATAACGTAGTTCTAATCATATTTTTATCCATCCCCAGAGGAAAGACCCTCCTGATCATATCCTTGGGCGGCTGCCAAGTGTCCGTTTCTCCGGGGTCTGCTTCGCTCTCCTTTCTGCTTCAGTTCACTTTATCCCAGCCTAGATTTCCTCACCCTCCACACTCTCCCCGCTGCTGACTTCCACCAAAGAACTGCTTTGGGTTGAGGGAACCAGCTGTTTACCACGACTGATCGTGACCGAACGCCGGGACTCTCCTGGTTGTTTGTCTCAAGCGGCGTAGCTCACAGAAGTTTTCATGTCAGTGAGTGGGGCTGGCACATCTCTTCCTAAAATGAGATCACCCGCAGTGTCAAATCCCGCTGTGAAGCCCAGGTTGCCAAAATAGGATATTTTTGCTGGGAAGACCAAGAGGTCACCCAGTGGATACCGTGCTTATGTCAGCTGTGGACGGCAGCTCTAGGCTTTAGAGCCAAATGAATGATTGATTGTGCAGGTGACTAAGAGGGGTGTCCAGCCCCATTCCCTCACAGCCATTGCAGGGCATCCGTTGTTTTGGCATAAAAGGAGGGTGTGAATCAGTGGACAGAAATGACTTCATGTCAGGTCATAAGTATGAAATATTATATGGGCAAAAACAGTGGTGTCCAATATTTGCATAAATTTTCTGCCCTCTGCTAGGTACTTGTAGACACACTTCAATTTAGCCTGTTTCAGAGGCTGTGCATAGCCTTGTTTTACAGATGTGGAGAGCTGGGCATGAAGAGATTGCATGATTCTTGAGTTCTGGTGAGTAGAAGGCTCCAGAAGGTTGCAGGATGCTTTGTTCTTCTCCACAGGACAGGGAACAGGTAGCTTTCTCCTTAGAGGAAGGTAGGGGAGAAGAGGGAGGGAACGTTTGAAGGCCTGTACAGCGCCCGTTGGTGTTTCCAGTAGCCAGTCTCCTCTGATGAATTTCTGATACATGCCATTTTTCATTCTCAACATTTTTTTCTAACTTTTTGCTTTATCTGATCAGTTTTCCTGAAGTTTGCCAATTTTAGTAGTCTTCTTAAAGAGCTAACTTTTCTTTTGCAGATTTCCAGTGCATCAATCGTTGCTTCTCTGGTTATTAATTACTCTCCCATTTCCAAAAATGTGTTCTTAGGAATTATCTCCATGACCTTTTTCTCTCAGTTCTTGAATATTCAACCCAATCCTCAAACTTTCTTCTTTCTGAATGAGCCTATTGATGACTATAAACTTCTCCATAAACATATAGGTCCTGATTTTTACTAAAGAAACAGAAGGCTGAAGACTGTTTTTGGTGGGCACTTCCATTCAGTCTGAATTTACATGTCCTTTTACATTCATTTTGGTTATTTTTAGTTGCTTTCTAATTGTGGACCTGGCACTGTGTTTGTTTGTCATACAAATGGAATATTTCCATTCGCAATACATTTATTTGAGTAGAAAGTGTCTTAGCTAATTTTCTGTTGCTCCTAACACAATACCACAGATTAGTTAAATTATAAAGAAGAGAGCTTTACCAAGTCTCACAGGTCAAGTGACCCATTGAAGGTCAAGTGACCCATTTGGTGTGGCCTACTTGCTGGCAGAGTCCCTACACTTAAAGGCCACCACATGGCAGGAGACAGGGAGTGTGTGTGAGTCTCCTTTGGTCTCCTCCTCTTTGGATGAAAGTGTCAGCATTCAATCATTGGAGCTTCACGCTTGTTATTTACCCAATGAGCTCCCAAAAGCCCCCTCTGAACATATAGCTGGATTAAGTCTTCCTTCTCAGTGCTTCAAAGTGGGGATTAAGCTCCAACATATGTTGTAGAGGGAACAAACCATTTTCAAACACTAGCAGAGTAATTTTAAAGAAAAATGTTAAGTAATTGAACAAGTGGTACAAAAACTGACCAAATATCTTACAAGTGGTGTGTTGTAGTTCAAATATGAAAAAACCATAAAGGCATTTTATCAGCAAGTATTGTAGTCAGATGCTCTACCACTGAACTATACCCCTGTGCAGGGAGTATTGTTTGAGAACCGTGTTCCTGGCAGCATGCCACCTTCTTTCATTGACTAGCACCATCTTGTGCAGTGTGTAATTATTTAACCACCGTGAACAATCATGGGCAATAAGACAGGTTCTAAAGAGATGGACATGACAAATGTCATACTATCTAAAAAAAGGAATAATAAACTTGAGAAATGTAAGTTATGGGTGATATATATGTTTCCTGTAGAAGTGTTATTAATTGAAGACTGGATTATGGAAAAGATACTGAACACAGAGGTGTTGGACAAGGCCACCACTCTGAGCCAGTCTGGGTTCATCAGAGCACACTGTGTCATGTTCACCCTTTACACGCTTGTCATTAGACTGGCAGGTCAAGGTGGTCAGGAGAGAGATGTAACTGTGGTTTTAGTAATACATGGGGCACAACCATCAGATACGGTTAGAGATAGCAGAAATAGGTATGACTCGGGCTGGAGAGTTGACTCAGCAGTTAAGAACACTAACTGCTTTTGCAGAGAACCTGGGTTCAATTCCCAGCACCCATGTGATGGCTAATAAACTCCAGTTCCAGGGGATCCGATGCCCTCTTCTAACCATCGCATGACATGAGTGCATTTACATACATACAGGCCATATGCTCATATACATATAATAAAAATAATAAATAGAATATTCTAAAAAATAGGTGTTACTGATAACAGCATGTTTACAGAGGCTCTGAGATACACAGAAAACATCAGTCAAAGGTCATTTGGGGCAATGAATATGTCACTGTCCACCCAAAAGAATGTTATAATACTCTGTCACAGGGTTCTATACTGTTTAGTAACTTCACCAAGCGTGCCTGGTGATATATAAAGCTCATTTTATACTTCAGGGTGCAGAATACTCATTTGTAAAGGTCTTGGTAAACTGGAGTGAGTGACTCAGGGAGGTAGATGAGCATGGATATACAAAACTGTTTCTCTGTTTTCTCGTTCAAGTTCTCTCAGAGGCAGAGTATTATGAACAGATGTGCAGGCTAAGGTAGAGATGGGAAGAAAGGGCTGCTTCAAATGTAGCCAGCTCTAGACTTCTATCTAATCTCATCTTCTACCACAGAGATTCCTGTAAGACCTACATCTATTCTACAATCTGATCTATTTTATAGATATATTTAAAATGAAAATTTATTGAACAAATACATTTTTATTTAAAAGTTATATTTGGGGTTTGGTTGTAGCTTAGTGCTAGACCATGTGCCATGAGCCTATATAAGAAACTCTGACTTTGATCCTAAACACACACACCAACTGAAGATAAATAAGAGGAGGAGGAAGACACATTTGTTTGTTGGTTTTGATTTTTTGAGACAAGGTCTCATTGTAGCTCAGGCTGACTTCAAATTCACAATCGTCCTGCCTCTGCCTCCCTAGTGCTGGGGTTATGGGAATGTGCTATCATGCCCAGCCTGAGAAGACATGTTTGGATGTATTTTCATTCTTGAAATCACTGATGAGTTTAAGATGAAACATACTTGTCCAAAATGTAGGTTTTTTTTTTTTTACAGCTGTTAATAACATAGAGCTTGTATTCCAACTTTCTTGTTTTACAGATGAAGTTGATCCTATCTTCAACTTCATAATGCTTGACCTCTTAATCCAAACATTTCAAATCGAAGAACCCAATGAACAAATATTATATTATAGACAACTTCCATCTTCTTGCAAGTGTGATCCCTTAATTTAAATCCCTTAGTTTAAACTAGCATTTCTCTAATTCTCAACATGTGACAACAAATTGTCATTATATTAGATTTTGTGAAAAAGAATAGGATTTGAGACTGATGTGCTTTTACTAATCTCAGTCAAAATGCGCAGTAAAAAATTTAATTATAGAAAATTGCTGGAAAAGTGTTTCAAGGACAGGTCTACATACAGTTTTGAGTTCCTTCCCTAGGTTTTGTTGATCATCCAAGGAGCTACGATAAGTCATCTTAGCTTAAATTATTACCCTGCAGGCTTTTATTGACAGGATATAATTAAATTGTAGAGCACCTGTGCAACCTACATGAGGGCCTGGATTCCACCACTAGCACCATCAAAATACCAAATAAGGATGTTGGAATGTGGGAACAGAAGTTCCAGAGCTGATTGTTTGCTGTGCTCACCATCACCCTCCTTGAGTGAGCTAAACAGAGCTTCTCATTTATGAATAAATATGTTTATAATTTTGGCCCCATCAGGTCTAGTTACACATGTGTGTTTGTTGGTGTGTGCCTTGTTGGGAGGCAAGGGGTTGGCAGAGGTGCAGTGCAGTAGTGCTTTATAATTAGAAGGTCACTGAAGCTTAGAGCCTGGCTGTCTTCCGTGGGGAACTGTGCTTTCAGTGCGTGTGTCTCCAGTGCTCTCCTTATCCCTTTCTTTACCCTTCCTTGTTCTTTCTTTCAGGGTCTCTGAGGTGAAGTCAGGATGTCTGCAGCAGCACAGCTGGGAGGAGACTTTCCCCAGGGAACACTTTACACCTGCTGAAATGAAGGTGGGAAATGCCCCCACCCAAGCATCTCTATAGCATCTTCACCCTGTACCTCCAACACGGAATGCAGAAGAACCTCAGAGGAAAATAAGTTAATTTTGTGTCTGGGGAAAGGCACCATCTCTTGGTCAGGCAATACTGTTTTACTTGAAGCACTTGTGTGGGTTGCTGGGTCAGAGGCAACCTTTATCAGACCAGTGCCATACGGAACACAGGCACAAGGCACTAAGCTTTCTGACATCAGATGGTGAATGGATGCTGGAGAAAACTGGCTTTTGACTGGCCGGAAAGAGCTGCTCAGAGTGTATGTTGAAAGGAAACACAAACAAGAGACTTCAGCATAAGGAAGGAAAATATGTATATGGTTTCAAGGACAAATATTCCAGAAGAGAGGATCATGGAGACCAAGGAGAATAGGTAAATAGCTAACGTTTTAGATGACAACGATTTACACTGAGATTTTAACGCTTGCTCAGTTTCCATTAGTGAAATGTAGATAGACAAAAACAAATGAATGCTCCCTAGAGGTAAAGGGAATGCACCGTATATAGAGTTTCTTCAGCCACAGACGAAATGGTGCATGCACCACTTCGAGCCAATGGCTAGAAATAATTCCTTCATGTTTGTCCAATGGTTTTGGCTTTTCTCTTGCCTGGTGTGGTTATTAGGGTATAGAGTGGGTTAGACTCTTCGTAACAACATCTGGCGTTCGCTTTCCTAAAATGTTTATATATTCCTGCCTAACAAAGGTCATATGAAATAAAATAAATGATTGTAAAGTACTTGGAATTGTGGCAAACAACCTAAGGAGGGAGGGAGAGGGAGAAAGAAAGGAGGGAGGGAGGGAATACAGAGAGAGATACAGAGAGCAGCTTTTCTTTTATAAATTATGGTAATGAAGGATAATGCTTGCTCCTTTTCTCAAATGTGGTTGCTATTTTATAAGAACATGTTCTTATTTTACAAGTTTGAGGATTCACGCAGTTATAGTTGTATGTATTACTGTTTAAATTTATGTGTGCATTTTCTAAAGCATGTAGCAGAGTACTCTTATTCTGACTGATGTATTCAAGTAGCATATTCAAAAATGGGAACTTTTAGTACCATAGAGACTAAGAAAGACTTTATATTTTAGCCTAATGATAGATCAACAGATAAAATAGATTTTTTCAAATTTAGGTTTCTAAACTTGAAATACCGAGTTAAAAAAAACCCTAATAGTGTTTCTCTGCCAATTTTGAAAAGCTGCACATTAGATAGAATGTTTACCTTTTCAGAAGTTGCTCCCTAGCATTATCCCAAGTAATTTTGGAACTAATACTTTTTCTTTTTCTTTTTCTTTTTCTTTTTCTTTTCTCATCTTTTTTTGAGTCAGGGTCTTGTTATGTGGACTAGGCTAGCTAAAAAGTGGTAATCTTCCAGCCCTAACCTCTCCACTGCTGGGGCTATGGGTTTAAACCACCATGCCTGGCTGTTTTTAAAATATATGAATGCAAAAGGGAACTGAGATTACTTGCATTTTTATTCCTATTGAATGATTGGCATATTTATTATCTGAACTTGCTCGTATTATGAGAAGTCCTGTTTCCTGATGTGGTTATTATGGTATGTTTCTTATTTACTAAGAAATTAAATTTCTGTTACTGATGATACCCCATTAAACATGGAGGGAATGTTTTCATGTTACTTTGTAGTATTTCTGTGGATTTTTTTCATCTTCTAAAGCACTTTCATAGTAGCATTTATCCCCTTAAGTATGGAAGTAGATGCTTTTTCAAAGGACAGGTGAACCAATTTCCACTTAACTCACTGGTTGGTTGATTTAAGTTATTTCATTCACATATTTGAGACCAGAAATCATACAGAATGATTGGTCCCGACAGTAACTACAAATTGCCGATGACTGGAATCAAAACTCCAACAGATTATGTTGTCTTTGCAATCACTATCATAAATGCTATTTATATCCAGAAGGAAGTACAAATTGACTGCAGCTTTTTTGCAGAGAATGTCATATAGGCTACAGGTACTTATAATTCGCAGTTTATTGAAAACTAAATATCAGTGGCTGGATAGAGAAACACACACACACACACATGCACACATGCACACATGCGCACACACACACCTATTTACAATGGAAGAGAGAATTGGGCTCAACTCTGAACAGCAGCAGAGACAACAGAGATGTATAGTCAGCACATTGGATGAGGGGTCAGTGGGTGGAAACATCAGAGGCAGGAAAATTCTTACTCAACTGGCTTGACAGAATGATCATGTATTAGGAGTAAAGGTGACTAAGTGGGACTAGCATGATGCTGGTTGGGCCAAGACAGGAGAGAGGGAGGGAGGGAGGGAAGGACAGAGGGGGAGAGGGAGAGAGAGAGGGAAAGAGGGAAGGGAGGGAGGGAGAGAGGGAGGGAGAGAGAGAAAGAGAGGGAAGAAGGGAAGGAGGGAGAGAGAGAGGGAAGAAGGGAGGGAGGGTGGGAGAGAGAGAGGGAGGGAGAGAGAGAAAACATCTGGGATAAACAGGAACTTGGAGGAGACTGACTGGAGTTGGTTAAGGAACATGTTTTCATCTCCTTATTCAAGGAAAGAGGAGATGCCTATCTATAAGTTTGTTGCTCATTCCATCCTATTTTGTTCATTAAGGATCATCTGAAACATCTCTTGAGATTCAGTAGCAAGGAGTATTTGCTGGATGGTTTGGGAGGTCAGGCACTTAGTAAGGGGAACTATCCATGAAAATGAAAAGAAAGATAAAGGTTAATGTTTGGAATAAATTATAAATTTTTGTTGATTAATTTTTAATACTGGTATTTGAGATACAAGAAAACAAGTAAATTTATATAGATCTACTTGTTTTTCCTTTATTATTTATTTTTTAATCTTTTTATTAATTCTTTGAGAATTTCATACAATGTATTTTGATCATATTCAGAATGCCTCCTCACCTCCATCCCAACTAACTACCCCCCAAACTTCTATTATTATTTTTAAAAGATCAAAATTAATTTGTGTTTCCCAAATTCTCTTGGGTATGGGTCCATCCTTTGGAGCCTGGTCAGCCTACTCAATGTCACACCCTTAAGGAAACCTGCCTCTTCTTCTCCCAAGAAGTAGCTATCAATTGCTAATAGTTCCTTAGTGAGTGCTGGGGCTTCTTGCCCACCTCCCTGCATCATGCTGGGTTTTTGTCTGACTTGGACTTGCATGTGCTCTCAAGTGCTGTGGATTCATATGTGCAACATGGTTTCCTTGTAGTCATCCACCACCTCTGGTTCTTAAATCTTTTTGACCCTTCTTCAACAATGATCCCTGAGCCTTGCAAAGAGAGGTTGTGATAGAGATGTCAAATTTAGGGCAAAACACTCTCTCTCCAGTCTCTTGTTCTCTTCATGTTGGCCAGTTGCGAATCTTTTTGTTAATCACCAGTTGGTACAAGAAGACTCTTCTCTGGTAAAAGTTGAGATGCACTGATCTATGGTTATAACAATAAGTCATTAGGAGTTGGTTTAATACTATGTCCATTTAACAGACTATCAGCAGCAGGTTCTCCCTACTGCCTGTGACTTATCTAACCACAGGTTTCTGGCCCTGATAACAATGCCAGGTATGGGCTCCATCTTGTGAAGCTGGCCTTAAATCCAATCAGAAAGTGATTGGTTATTCCATAATGTTCCTGCCACTACTGTACCAGTTGGCATATCTTGCCAGGCCAGTCACTATTGTAGCTTACAGGGTTCACAGCTGGGTAAGGTTGGTGATTACTTCTCTGGTAGCATGCATAGCACCTTCTAGTGCTATGAAAGCCAGCCAGAAGAGATGAAGTTTTGAGGTCAGAACCACTTGATTTCTCCATGTTTGTTGTATGACTCATGTATGTGGTGTCTTTATCAATAGGATCTTACTGTCAAGTTCTGAAAGGCAACATACAGCAATGCCAATAACCAGGATTGTTTGAGAGCCTATGGAACTCCCCACTCCCTGGTCAGCAACTCCGAAAGGAGTCCATATTTTATTTGCTTGGCCTTGGATATTTTATTTTCTAGCCTGAGGTGCCTGGTAGGGGCCTTTTCCCTCTGTTATAGGATAACTCTATTTAAACTTTTTATATTACATATGTATCTATTTTAAGAAATTTCTCTAGTAGTAGGTTTGTATATGACTTTTTCGAAAGACCTTTTGGTGTTAGCGATCCCTCTCCTTACTCTCCCCTCTACCCCGCCTTCCCATTTCTCACCTCATTTAAATCTTCCTATTCCTTTATTTCCCCTTCTCTTTTTATATCACTGCATTCTATCTCCCCTCCCATGACCCTCACTCCTCACCATCATGGCTCCTTACTAGTTTTCTGACTCCTATGGATTTTCTAATTAAAGTACACAGATCTAAAGATTCAAAGCTAGCATCTACTTGCTAGAGAATTAGCAACCTTTGTCTTTCTGGGTCTAGATTAGCTTGCTCAGGATGATTTTTCCAGTTCCAAGCTGAACAATATTTTGTGGAGTAAGTGTGCCATATTTTCATTATCCATTCTAGGCAGTTTCCATTTCCTGGCTATTGTGAATAGAACAGCAGAGAACATGGATGAACAGGTATCTCTGTAGTAGACTACAGAGTTCCAAGAGTGATATAGCTGGATCATATGGCAGACCTATTTCTAGCTTTTTGAAGAAACTCCACACTGATTTTCAGAGTGGTTTCACCAGGTTGTACTCCCACCAGCAGTGAATGAGTTTTCCCCTTTCTCCACATCCTGGCCAGCGGCTTTCATCATTTGTTTTGGGAACCTTAGCCATTTTGACGTGGGTAAGATGAAATCTCAAAGTAGTTTTAATTTGCATTTCCCTGATGGCTAAAGATGTTGAACAAAAGTATTTCTCACCCATTTGTATTTTACCTTTTGAGAACTTTGTTTAGTTCCTTGTCCCAATTTTAATTGAGGCATTTGTTTTTTTGATATTGGGTTTTTTCTGTTCTTTGTATATTCCAGATACTAACCATCTGTCAGATGTGTAGTTGGTAAAGATCTTTTCCTATTTTATAGGCTATCTCTTGACTTGAATGATGATGTCCTTTACTGTATAGAAGCTTTTAATTGCATGAGGTCCCATTTATCCATTTTTGGTCTTAATGCCTATGCTATCAGGGTCCTATTCAGAATGTCCTTTCTGTGCCTATACGTTCCAGTGTAGTCTCACTTCTTCCTCTCTCAGATTCAGGGTATCAGGTCTTATGTTGGGGTCCTTGACCCAAATGGAGTTGAGTTTTGCACCAGGGGAGAGATAGGGATCTAGTTTCATTCTTCTTCATGTAGCTGCCCAGTTTGACCAGCACCATTTGTTAAACAAAGTATCTGTTTTCCAATGTGTATTTTTGGCCCTTTTGTAAAAATCCAGCCTGGTCTACATAAC